TTTCCGTTCATTTATCGTTTTTTTATGGGTTGTTTTTGGCTATGTAATTAATACCCGAAGCCTTGAATAGCGTAGCTTTACTTTCCGCACTTTAAATTCCGCAAAATATTAACTGCTAGATGTATGAATATTAGGTTTGCATGACAAGAATATATGATTAACTTTAAAACGGTTAGCAAACCCTAAATGTGCAAAGATAATAAACTTGAAATTGAATCAATCGCACATGCGCACTCCTAGGGTATACTCTCACTTCGGTTGCCTTCGGTAAATGGTCATTAAGTATAGGGTGTTTTAGTGGTCGCTCTTCTGTCTCAAAGATCAAAGTTGCCTCGGAAAGGTTGCCTCGGATATGTTGCCTCGAATATTGATCTTAAGACATTAGGGTTATTACTAAGACGTCCTAACATTGCTTCAGTGATCGTACGTCCCTTTCGAATTGACCCTTACAACTCCAACGACGGTGCTACCTACTCACTAATAGTAGGATAGCGCTGTCTAAATGAAACAAGCATAGAACAATTCTTTTTTCGAGTAGGTAGATGCTAGTAGGTACTTGCTCAAAACAATCAAACTTTTCACACTTACACTCTTTTCAAACAAAGTTTTCAAAAACACTTTGTAACACTCTTGAAGACAGAAGCAAGGGTTAAATCGAAGTAAAACAAAAAACTTTTCAAATCACACAAACACATAAGCAATTTTAAAATAATGAGAAAGTACCTAAGAGCCCATGGAAAACCATGGATAGAAAGGGTGCTAATACCTTCCCTTTCTATAATCTACCCCTCGTACTCAGAATATCTCGAAAAAGGAATTTTTATGTGCTTTTTTTTCCTTTCCAATTGGAAAAAATAAAAGTCGGTGGCGACTCTTGCTTACCGCAACATTTTGCAAACACAAACGCAAAACACAAACCAACATCCAAAACAGTTCCGGTTCTGCCACCGTATCACACACTGTATTATGAACCATATGAGGCCAAAGATGCAATCGAAGGTTGCATGCATGAAGCTCCTGCTTTATGAATCAAAGCCAACGCGCCAGAGGCCCATGCCCAGTTGAAGGATGTAAGCCAAGCTTGCATCGAAAGAGGCCAAAAGGCCAATCGAAAGAGATAAATCGAACGAGACTTGTTTTTTCTCCAATTTTTTCAAAAATATTATTTTCATCTATTTTCCCCTTTTTTAACAGTTTCCTCTTTAACTTGATGCTGGAAAATCCAATTTGTACTTATGCAAGCTTGAATTTTGAGAATCATTGTGAGAAATACCTTGAGAAATGAGAGGGCAAATTTTGGGGTACAACACCAATGACCATAGAGTTCGTTCTTAGATGCTTTTCCCCCTAGTTAGGAGCATTTTAGAATGGATCGCTTTTTATTAAACCAATTCTTGAGATCTCCTTTGATTTTAAGTGTCTATTCGTATATAAAATTGTACATTTTTGAAAAGTAATTTTGTTTGATGCCCATGCAAGATTTGAAATCTAAGTTTAAATAGAAATGGATGATTAGAGATGGAAATTTGAAGAAGCGAAGTGGTTAGTAATAATTTTAACAAACATAGGAGTCAGTTTAACACAAATTTTATCGAGTATGATTTCATAGTTAACCTTGCTTCAATTATGACTTTTGGAGGTTGTAACGGGGCCTTCGTTCGTGGTTTAAGAAACAAAGGATATAAGGCTCAAAATTTATTTAGCCCACCCCATTCTCCTTGATGTTCTCCAATCCTAAGTTCAATTAATGCAACAAATATGTTTAATCTCCAAGAGAAATTTTGTAGTCGCGCAAATGATGAGAACCGTAGATAAAGATCCAAGCACCGATGAAAAGCATTGATAAGATCCAATCAGTGATAAGATCTAAGCGTATATGAGAAGCCTTGATTTTTGAGGTGGCAGTCACAAGATTGTTCTCCAATTTTGTTTTCAATCCCTTATTTTTGCATGGACCAATTCTTTGGAAGTTTCTGGTCCATCGGGATGCCCTAACTTTTTCCTAAGTCAAATTTTTTGTCGGGCTATCTTTTTTTGAAAATTTTATTTTGATATATATTTTTTATTTTGATACAGGAATGTCGTGACTGCCATGTTTTATTTTTTCGAGCTTCATCTTTATTGTTTCCTTGATCTTGAATGATGTATTGAGGTAGAGGATGTGCTTGAACCTTTTGCGTAGATAGACTGATTCCCTTGAGATTAGAATGCATCATTGAATTAATTGAAAGATTATCCTACCCCTGGTTGAAATTAAGGTTTTTTGAAAATAGAAACAACTCCAACTTCTGGCTCGAGGGCGTTAACTACGGATTAACTCCTTATTTCTCCATTGTTTAGGAATTGAAATAATGCCTTACATCTCCAGCTCGGTGTTACGATTAAAAGCATACATTGATAAATTTTTGTTATTTAATTTTCGTCATTCTCCCTCAAAGTTTGTTAAAGTTGAAAGATCAAATGGAAAAGTTGTTGATTATGCATGGAAAGTGATGAAAGAGTGAAGCGAATGGATTGATTTCAAAATGTACATGCTCATTTTATTAGAAATATTAATCCAACAATACAATTTTACACCAAATACAACTTAGCAACGTAGAAATTACAATTAAAAATTGATAAAGTCTAATGATCCTATGGAAGAGCTCCTTAGTTAATCCACATGACTTCAGGAGATGCTTCATAGTTTTTGGATTTGTCAAAGCATTGGGATGAACCTTAACTTCTCTTCGGGCATACCAATTCTGTTGATAGGGCAATGGGGGAAATCACCAATGAAAGTTGAAACTGAGGCGTTGCATAGGCTTGTATAGTGAAGGGTTGCCTTCTCTCTGCAATAAGATTTGTAGGACCAAGCTCCTTTGAATCTCCAACGTTTGACCTTTCCTTCACCAATCTAAGATTTTCTTAAAATGCTTGGACTTTGTACTTGAGCATTAGGAAATTTGTTAGCTGGATTGATAGCGACCAAGGGTGAAGGTGGAAATGAGTGACATGCAAATGTATGAATGTACGAAAATGCATGGCTATGCAAAATTATTTTTTGGCTTTTGGGTATGCAAAAGAGTTTCATTGATATGCAATGCGACGCAGACGTAGTATGAGGGTAATCGTATGGGTACCCTATACGAGTTTAATGATAGATATGATGATATCCTACATTGACTCAAAGATTGAGACAAGCAGGAACTCCTTAAGGACGAAGATAATAATAGACATATATATGATGATATCCTATATTGTCTCAGAGATTGAGACATGCAGGAATTCCTTAAGGATTATGGCCAACGAAAGATGACGAGGAATCCCTACAAGCTAGGGATGATGACAGAGGGAAGCCCTACGGATTAAAGATAGTAGTGGATGAATATATAAACCTTGCAGGTTTAGGGATTGTAGTGGAATTTGGAAGGTATCCTTAGAATGTAGGTTCCTAGTTTCAGCCTACATATATTCTACCCTCTCCATAAGGTGGATACCTCAAGGGTATCATGGATAACACCAAAGGGCAAAGGCACAAGTGCCTACCTTAGGCAGAGCCTCTTTGCAGACCAAAACTTTCGTCTCTAGGTCAAGAAAGATCCCACCATGAGATTTTGGTTTAACGGTTTATACAAAGAGTCATGTGTTTCATTCCAAAGTCCTACTACAAAGAGGATGTCTCTTAATAAAATCCCACCATAGATGAATAAATATAATAACATAATGAACAGTAATAAATAAATAATTAAATAAAATAAATATAAAAAATAAAACCCTAAACCAAGATAAAAGATCTTAAACCCTAGGGTTGAGTCCCCAGTAAAGTTGCCAGCTGTTGTAACTGATTTTAAATTGAGAGTCGTCACTACTAGCTTTTATCCTAAGGAAGAGAATCTAATAGGAAACCCTAATTTTGTACGCAAATATTCTAAGTTGTTGGACTCGTTCTTAGACGAAGGGAAGGTGTTAGGCACCCCTCATCTACCTTGTTCACAAGTATACTAGAATTTAGAATTTCAGCTTAGGAAATAGGATTTTAATTTTTATTAGAGGAACTCGCCACGATTTTTATCGTATGCCTACGTATCCTCTTATGAGGAATTAGAGTCCATATTCGTAGTTCGTAGTTGGTTGGTGTTTTTTATGGATTGTGTAGAATTACTTTCGAATTTATCCTTGAACCTTGTCTGAGTTGTAAATTGAATGATGGTAGACGTAGTTCACAGTTTAATTCGAAGACAATGCTACTTAATCCTTTTTTGGAAAATAATCTTGAAGTTTTGATTAAGTTAGTAGAAAAATAGTTTGTAATTGGTTAGCTATATTAAGACATAGAGCGGGGGGTCTAATATAGTCTCCTAATCACGTGACCAAATTTTGGCCACATGTCGCTTGCGGATGTAGTAATTTGTGAGTTGCGTGGATTCTAATTGTTTGATTTTGAATAATAAACTAGTAGATGATGTATCAACCGATTTAATTACTCGAAGATGGATATCCTATTATTATAGAATGTTTGAATTAATTATTTGAGAAAATTATTCAAATATGTATGTATCGATTAATCTAATAGACCTAAGTAAATCTAATTAATTAATCCTCATGGTCTAAATTATCAATTAAATAGAAATACTTATTCATTTTATATCTTAGATTTTTTAATGATTTTAAATATTAAAACAAATTAACTATTAAATTAATTAAAACCAATAATCTAATTAAATTAACTACACTACAATTACACTAAAAGAAATTGAGTTAGTTGAGTTAAAGGTGTACTAATTAGAAAATTGAGGATGCTATAAGTAAAATGCTAGAAACCATAAGAGCCCAATGAAAGCCCAAAAGGAACCTCAATCCTAAAAAGTAAAACATGCAGCATACGAGAAGAGCTTCCCCTATTGTTGTCTCACTGAATCAATTTTCTTTCGTATAAACAAAATAAGCCAAAAAAACATAAGAAAATATTGATTTTCAAAACCACTTTTACGAACCAACAGAAGTACGACACGTGGAATTCAATTTAAGAAAAAAAAAGAAAACAAAACAAAACAATATGTCATACATGACACAACTCGTTGGGAGAGAGAAGACAAACCCCAATTTTTGATTTTCTCTGCTTCACACATTCTCTTTTTCCTTTCACAATGCTCTCCTTCTAGGGGTAGCTTCGTCGATGAAGGTCCGGTGGGTGTGCGGTGCGACAGAGGCTGTCTTGAGCGGGGGCTGGAGGTTGCGACTGGACAGATGCGATGGCGTGAATGTTCGGCGGTGATTGGAGATGCACGGTGAGAGGTCAGAAGGTATGGAGGGAGGTTTGTCACCGGACGAGAGGTCTTGCGGTTGTGGCGAGCGTCTGCGGAAGAAGCGTGGTGGCTGATCAAAGTTGTTGTGGAATCAGAGTGACGGTGGCTGGGCGGAGATTTCGACGGCTGTGGCCTCGGTGTTTGACGGAGCATACGGAGTTGTTTAGAGCTTCGACGGTATGCGAGGATTAAAAAAAACAGATTTTTTTTTAATGAAAATTGTGTACGTGGATGTTAGCAAAAATATAATTTCTAAAAAATAATAATATTCTATCTCGTAATTATCATGTTGTAGAAATAAGGTTTTGTGTGTAAAAATTGTAATTTTTTTGGTAAATGTGAATTTTTTTTTACAATAATCATTTATTAAAATAATATTTCGTAAATAATCGGGTTTCGGAAAAAATTACGCAAATAACCATGTTTCAGATGACTCTCCAAAGGAGGAGCCATCTGAATTGGCGCATGCACCTACAATTTTGCCCTAGGCGCCATCTCACTTGGCTCCTAGGACAAAACTAGGACAAAATGCTGTTTTATAAATAATTCGTCTGTTTCTCCGAAATTTCTCACACTTTCTCGCACTATATTTTTATTTTGTACTCTGTTATTTGCGTCATGACGTCGCCTATGATTTTTAGCAGAGATGGTTACGTTATCTTCTCCGCCACAAAACCTGCGATGAAAATGAAATTCTGGCACATTCACTCCATGGAGCGTCTGAAGCGGGAGTTGATGTGATGGCTAGATTGAGACATTGCGGAGGGGGAAAAAATTCGAAGGATCCAGCGAAAACGAACAACAACCTCACATGCGACAGGAAGACCTAATGTGTGGTTGGAGGAAGTCAAAACAGACAGCGATGTAATGTTGATGATGCATGGGTCAGATGAAATTGTGTTAACAGTTGTAATTTCGTAGATGGAATATCGTTAATTATTCTTGTACGCGTTTTATTAATTGTAGCAAAATCTGTTAACGGAAAACCCAAATGTTTACAACACAATTAAGGAAAGATTTTATGTATTACAATTTTTATGTGGTCGAGGCAGACGCCCGATTCGGACAGTTTTTGCGATTGTGTCCGACCTGACGGCATAAACCACTTTCTTTCCAACCTGTCAAGATCGTCCATTTCTGTTGTGATGCGCTTACTTTTGGGACGACCCTTATTGTGCCTTCGCATTTGGTCATTGTGCCACACTATTTCACCGTCGTATGCAGGCCAATAATCTGGTTTTGCTACCAAAGGAAAGTTGTTGTTGTAAACATTGAGCAATGTTTCAGATTTGTAAATGTTTGACAGAAGTTGCAGCGCGTCTTGATGGGTATGAGCACAAGCGGCAATGACATGAGAGCAAGGCATACGAAATGCTTGAAACCTGCCACAATCGCACCATTAAGAAGGTAGCATGACCCTATATTCTTGTCTTGGCAGACCTTCATTGTGGTCGATTGTCTCTTTCACAATGAAGTTGTGGCTGTGTCGGTCAAACCGTATAACCATATGAGTGTTGGCTTTAGCACTTTCAGCCTTAATGTATTTCATGCAGCTTTCACTCCATAGTTGTCCAGATTGCAACACCGCATTCCACATTTCACCTCTTTTGGCAAATAACGCAGCCATCCTAAAATACGTAGATTTTACCAAGGCAGTGATTGGGAGGTTTCGTATGCCTTTGAATACCCCATTCATTGACTCAATAAGATTCGTTGTCATATGCCCCCCATCTTTGGCCATTATCGTATGACCTAGTCCATTTTTCCACCGGAATATTGTCGATCCACCTACCGGCTTCCGGATTTGACAAACGAATCTCGTTGCGGTAATATTTGAATGTGGGATGTGTCAATGCATATCCCGCATTCATAACCGCTTTCCTCAATGTTTTGTCCTTGATCTCCCTCGAGAAATTTTGTACGATATGCCTAACGCAATAGACACGCGTAGAAGGAGGGTCATGCCAACCGTTTGCAGGATTATTGTAGGCATTTTCAATGGAGGCATGTCTGTCCGAGATCAAACAGAGATCTGGTTGAGGAGCCACGTGTGTCCGCAGATTTTTTAGGAAAAATCTCCAAGCACCACCGGTCTCCCCCTCGACAAGGGCAAAGGCAATGGGGAAAATGTTGTTGTTGCCATCTTGTGCAACTGCCATCAGTAGCGTGCCTTTGTACTTCCCATATAACCAAGTCCCATCAATTTGTATAATTGGTTTTCATGATGCAAACCCTGTGATGCATGGTTGAAATGCCCAAAACACGCGACTGAATATTCCATTGCCATTTAGTAGACTACCATCTTGGGCGTATGCTGGCACTGTTTCCAGAACGTAAACACTACCTGGAGAATACGTCTTGAGTGCATTTAGGTAGCGGGGAAGTTCTTGGTATGACTCCTCCCAATTTCCGTACACCCTTTCAATCGCCTTAGTCTTTGCTAACCACACCTTACGGTAAGACGGAGTGTAGTTAAAAACTATGGTGATGTGGGAGATGATTGTTTTCACCTTCAAAGATGGGTTGTTGCTGACCAGGGGTAGGATTTCTTGACAGATGAGATCGTAGTTGAGTTTTCCGTGGTCCTGTGATTGAGTGGAACTTACACAAGTGTGGGTAGTCATGGAACCTATGACCCAGCAGTCACCCCTTAATCTGTATGATGCGGCCAGCTTGAACATACAGTCAGGGTGGACACACTTGATCTTGTACCTTTCCGGGTTGACACGGTCCACCTTAAAATCAACCGAGTTGAGCATGTGGAATTTTTTAATGGCCCTGATGCATTCCTCTCTGTTACGAAACTTGTCCTTCTCTTTTAAATTTTCATCCGACTGCATATACGGATTGAAAAATAAGTCAGTAGAAGGTTCATCTCCGCCCATGTTGAAGTTTGTCATGTGTGGAGGTGGTGTGTAGATTTCGTTTGCAGGAATACTAGGGATGCCATCATCGTCGGAATCATCATTCACCATTTCATCAAACTCCAACTCGTCATCTTCTTCTTCATCATCAACTGCATCTACCTCAGCTTGTTCATTCTCCAAAGGATCAACCTCTTGTGTCACCTGAGGCTCTCGCAGCATAACGTATAACTCAATAGAGTCGTACCCAGAATAGACATGGCTGGAAAACATATTCTGGAGATCCTCGTCATCTTGAACTTCAACCTTATAAAAAATTACTTGGTTGTTTCCAAAAAAAACTGGATTCTGATAAAATATCTGGGACACCGGGCCTCGTTCAAGTTTGGCCTCCAATCGTTTTTTGAAGTACGAGAAATTGGCTTTCCCGTTTAAGAGAAATCGAATGTTGTCTGTGTCTCTAAACAAAAACTCAGCGCTGGGACAAATGTATGTCTCACCGTTGAAATGTGCTTTGACGACAAATTATGGTGCAGAGGCCATTGGGTAGAATTGTTTGAAGGTTTGAAGGTTTGAAGGTTGGAATGTTTGAATTTTATGAGTGATTCGAAGGTTGGAATGTTTGAAGTTTATTGATTGTATAAAGGTTTGAATGCTGTAAGGTTTGAAGGTTGGAATGTTTGAACTTTATGAGTTATTTGAAAGTTTATATGTTTGAATGTTTGAAGGTTTGAAGGTTTGAAGGTTTGATTGTAAGAACGTTTGAAGGTTGGAAGATTTGATAGATTAAGTGAATCAATGTTTTGATAAACGTAAGACTAAAAATTTCAATTAAGTAAGGATGCAACCCCCAAGGCTGCCAATAGTGTTACATGCAGGGCATCCCAAAGGCTGTCACGTAGCCTAAGCCTAGCCTGCAACAAAGGACACCTCTTATTCGCCAATTGGGATGGCGACACCATTCATTTTTGTACTCTTTCGCCAAGTCCAATGGCGCCTCCCTTACTGTCCAATCGTGATACATGCATGCAGATATGTAACCCCTAGGCTGCCACCTAGCCTGCGCCTACTCTGCACCTATATTGTATGTTGTAAGTCTCCTCCCATCACCTCCAATGGGGTTACATGCATTCAGGCAAGGCATCCCAAAGGTTGTCACGTAGCCTGAGCCTAGCCTGAAACAAAGGACACCTCTTATTCGCCAATTGGGATGGCGACACCATTCATTTTTGTACTCTTTCGCCAAGTCCAATGGCGCCTCCCTTACTGTCCAATCGTGATACATGCATGCAGATATGTAACCCCCTAGGTTGCCACCTAGCCTGCGCCTACTCTGCACCTGTACTGTATGTTATAAGTCTCCTCCTATCACCTCCAATGGGGTTACATGCATTCAGGCAAGGCATCCCAAAGGCTGTCACGTAACCTGAGCCTAGCCTGAAACAAAGGACACCTCTTATTCACCAATTGGGATGGCGACACCATTCATTTTTGTACTCTTTCGCCAAGTCCAACGGCGCCTCCCTTACTGTCCAATCGTGATACATGCATGCAGATATGTAACCCCTTAGGCTGCCACCTAGCCTGCGCCTACTCTGCACCTATACTGTATGTTGTAAGTCTCCTCCCATCACCTCCAACGGGGTTACATGCATTCAGGCAAGGCATCCCAAAGGCTGTCACGTAGCCTGAGCCTAGCCTGCAACAAAGGACACCTCTTATTCGCCAATTGGGATGACGACACCATTCATTTTTGTACTCTTTCACCAAGTCCAATGGCGCCTCCCTTACTATCCAATCGTGATACATCCTTAGGCTGCCACCTAGCCTGCAAGAGTGACACCTTTCATTTTTTGTACATGCATGCATGCATATATGTAACCCCCTAGGCTGCCACCTAGCCTGCAAGAGTGACACCTTTCATTTTTTGTACATGCATGCATGCATATATGTAACCCCATAGGCTGCCACCTAGCCTGCAAGAGTGACACTTCGCATGCATGCAAGCACCAACAACCACTATATGAAATTTTTTGCCTATAAATACATACCATATCATACATCTCTCACACCCACACAAGTCTCACTCTCTGCTACGAAATCTTTCATAATCTCTTACATTTTCTAAGTCTTTCATACTCTTTATCTCTTCCTAAGTCTTTCATAATCTCAAGCATTTTAAACAATGGATCTTCTAACAATGGGCGATACTCACAGAGGCACAAGGGAAACCATTGCCGCATTTGTAAGTTTCTATTTTGGTTATACATTTTTCATACTTTAGATAAT